GATGATGATGGTGTCCCGATGGTGATTATGCTGATGATGTTGTTCATGATGATGATGATATGATGATGATGATGATGATGATGATGATGATGATGATGATGATGATGGTTGTGTTTCGATGATGATGATAGTTTCCCGATGATGATGTTGATGATGATGATGGTGACGATGATGGTGTCCCGGTGATGATGGTGATGATGATGATGATGATGATGATGATGATGGTGATGAGGTGATGATGATGGCGTCCCGGTGATGATGATGATGATGATGATGATGCTGATGACGTTGATGACGATGATGTTGATGATGATGATGATGATGATGATGATGATTATGGTGGTGATGATGATGATGATGATGATGATGATGATGTTGATGATGATGATGATGATGATGATGATGCTGATGATGATGATGACGTTGATTGTGAGATCGATTGTGGTATCGATAGTGAGATCGATCGTGAGACCGAATGTGAGATAGATTGTGAGATCGATAGTGAGATCGATAGTGAGATCGATTGTGAGATCGATAGTCAGATCGATTGTGAGATCGATCGAATGAAATAGATCGAGTGAGATCGATTGTGAGATCGATCGGGTGAGATCGATCGAGCCAGACCGATAGTGAGATCGATAGTGAGATCGATAGTGAGACCGATCGAGTGAGACGTTGGTTCCTTCCCCCCCGAACCTCCTTATCACCCGAAGGGTGGCCGTATAGGTAGATCGCACCACATATATTGCACCACAGAGATAGCAACGCATAGTTTGATTCACATAGTCTACACCTCTTGAATTGCTCCACATCGAGTGCACAACATATACGGCTAGAAGCACACTGTTTTTGCTCCACGCTGGCTAGCATGTCATGCAACGTTCCTGGACCAGAACTGGACTGCAGTTCCCAATTTCCGATGCATCCTGCCGGATAATAACTGAACGATTCTGATTGAAAGCGATTGTATGCAGGACCGCCGGCATTGCCGCCAGGCTTTGTCCTGGATATTGTATTTCTTGAGCGAGGCCGACAACAGTTTGAAGCATGGTGGCAGTGGGACGTGCACTACAACGAAACATGTGAAATATCCGAGGAATATGCGCTATGGTCGAGGCGCAATTACACGGGCAAGCTCGAGATCATGGGGGAACCTGGCCCGTCGACACGAGACCAGCCAGATCAGCCAACTGTGTGCCCAACCAAATCTTGTGAGGAGTGGGTGCCATGGTGCACTATGTCAACACCACGAACTGTCTTTCGAGGGCCGTGCGGACTGCTCAAGGCGGCCGCGTGAGTGTCAAGGGATGCCGCTCTAGAGGCGGTCCTAGTTTTCGGGAGCCCGCTGGAGGTGGAGGCCACGGTACCTCCCATGCCGGGGTTCAAGACTGGATGTTCGAGATGGAGCCTCGGTGATGGCGGCACACGGTCACGAACTACTGCGGAGCGCGAGCAGGGTCGATTTTCCAAGTCCTGACGACGACTATCCGCAAGCGGCCGCTCTCAGCATCGTTGCACAATGACCAACTCTTCTTCGCTCGCGCAAAGTGTTCAAGCTGAGGTGCGTGCCGGACCGATGGCGCCGCCAGCGATATTTCTGGTGGAGGCGTATTATGTGCGCAGGATCGTCGGCGTTGCCGCTGGACTGTGTGTTGGAGGCTTGTTGTGCATGCGATGAATATGAGGAGGGACCTTCCCAGAGCCTTTCCCGCCCCGTCCGCAACCCCCTTGCCTTCATGTTGGGGTGCTTTTCGGCCCCTGCGCAAATCCTCAAAGGCTGCTGGCGTCTCCAACCACATCGAGAGCATTGGCACGGGGATGAAGAGGTGGAGGAGGAGGATGCGGAGGAGGGGGAGAAGGAGGAGGAGGAAGAGGAGGAGGAGGAGGAGAAGGAGGAGGAGGAGGGAGCTTGAGCAGGGAGAGGAGGAACATCAGGGGTAGTATGCGGAGGAGGAAGGGGTGAGGGGAACGAGGATGATAAAAAGGAGGATGAGGAGGAGGGAAAGGGGAAGCTGATGAGGAGAAATATGAGAGTACACATGTTGGGAGGAATAGGAAGAGGGTGAGGAGGAGGGTGGAGGGACGAGTGAAAGGGATGAGCAGGAGGAGGGAGGACGAGGATGATGATGATAACAAGGGATGACGAGGGGAAGAAGGATGATCCAGAGGATGGCGAGGACATAATACCATGATGCTAAAATCGATGATGACGACGACGATGACGATGATGATTTTAGAATAATAGGAATAATAATGATAACAGTGCAGATGATGACGATGATGATGATGATGATTATGATGATGATGACGATGCTGATGATGCTGATGCTGTGATGATGATAAGGAGGCTGATGTTGCTGATTCTGAAGCTGATGATGCTGACGAAGATGATGATGTTGAGGATAATGATACTGCTGATGCTGCTTATGATGTTGATGATGATGCTGCTGCTGCTGATGATGATGATGATGACGATGACGATGATGTTTCTGATCTGATGCTGATAAAGAATATGATGACGATGATGATGCTGATGATGCAGATGCCGATGCTGATACTGATGATGTTGATGCTGATATTTGTGATGCTGTTGCTGCTGATGATGATGATGACTATGCTGAAGCTGCTGCTGCTGCTGATGATGAAAATGCTGATGGTGATGCTGATGATGCTGCTGCTGATGCTGATGTAGATGATGATACATACGATGATGCTGACGCTGGTGCGGCTGATGCTGATGCTGATGATGCTGCTGATGCTGCTGATGATGCTGATGCTGCTGCTGATGATGATGCTGATGATGATGCTGATGAGTATGATGCTGATGATGCTGCTGCTGATGATGAGGCTGCTGATGATCATGAGGATGATGATGCTGCTGACGATGATGATGATGATGATGATGCTGATACTGATGCTGGTGATGCTGGCGACGGTGATGATGGTGATGATGACGATTATGCTGATGCTGATGCTGATGCTGATGATGCTGGTGATGATGATGCTGATGCTGATGCTGATGACGATGCTGGTGCTGCTGATCCTGATGATGCTGTTGATGGTGATGATCCTGATGCTGATGATGATGACTATGATGATCCTGACAAGGATGATGATGCTGATGATGATGACGACGATGCTGATGATGATGATGCTGATTATTATTATTATTGTGATGGTGTTGATGATGCGGATGATGCTGATATTGCTGATTTTGTTGATGATGATGGTTCTGGTGATGATGGTGATGATGATGATGATGACTATGATAAGGATGCTGCTGATGATGCTGATGCTGATGCTGATGATGATGCAGCTGCTGCTGCTGCTGCTGATGATGATGATGATGCTGATGATGAGGATGATGATGATGATGATGATGATGATGATGATGATGATGATGATGATGATGATGATGATGATGATGATGATGATGATGATGATGCTGGTACTGAGGAGGGAGGAGGAGGAGGAGGAGGAGGAGGAGGAGGAGGGGGGAGGGGGAGGAGAAGGAGGAGGAGGATGAGGAGGAGGATGGCAGGATGTGTGCCTCACACATTCCAGACCCCTTCCCCTTCTCCTCGCTCTCTCCTTCCTCCCCTCTCCCTTCCCTTCCATTTTTGGAGTGTTTCTTCTTCTTCTTCTTCCCTTCCCTCTCTGAGCATGTCAGCTCCGTCGCCCCACGTCGGGACTCTTCGACCTGGCCGCGTGATCCCCCACCTGGGGCCACGGAGATTGTGCGCCGCGTGGGCCCTTCGCTTGGATACTTCGCCGTTGCAATTACCTGCCATGACCGCGCGACATGTCTAGATTGCATTACTGGCTGACTGACAGAAACAGTGCGAGCTCCATTAGGGAGGATGAGAAGGACGGAGGCGGAGGTGGAGGAGGAGGACGAGGAGGAGGGGGAGGGGGAGGGGGAGGGGGAGGGGGAGGGGAGGAGGAGAGGAGGAGGGAGGAGGAGGAGGAGGAGGAGGAGGAGGAGGCGGAGGAGGAGGAGGAGAAGGAGGAGGAGGAGAGGAGAAGGAGGAGGAGGAAGAGGAGGAGGAGGAGGAGGAGCAGTGAACAATGAGCAATGCGCGGGGAGCTCAAAGGAGTTGCTCGACCTCATTCCAATAATACATGGGCAGAACTCTGCGCAACTCGACTTAGAGGTGTGCGTTAACTGTGTGAAAGACGGGGGGCCCCCGCTGGCGGGACCAGCACCGCCCCCGAAGGGTGGCGAACTCCCATGACGCCACGCAGGCGCATTGAGGAGAACCAAGGGGACCGACTCATGGCTGGGTCCTCGGCCGTTGCTCCTGCCCTTGGACCTCCGTGGGGCCGGCTTGGGGGCCACCACGAGTGGACCGAAGGGAGGACTTGGGTTAGCCTGCAGTCGGGGCCCTGAAGAAGGAACCCTTGTCGTTGGGGAGGGGCTCCGCGTTCCTTAAGTGTTTCGCAGCTTGCCTCAGGCTTTCCTTATGTTTTCGACAGGAAATCGAAGGTTAACTTATGGAAACAAGGGGCCTCGTTCCCTATTTAGAGTTCCTTAGGTCAACGCCCCGACTGTATGTATTGAAGTTAGATGCTCCAAACGGGTCGGGAATGATTCTTCGGGCCGCCAAACGCTCACTACCCGAGAAAACCCTTTTGCTTAAAGTCAAGTTCGTGCTGCTACTCATCCTGTCTCTACCTTTGCCTCTGCTCCTACTCCTATCCCTTTCCTCACTCACTTGTTAAGGATGCTTCGTCTGCTTCTCCCGTTGGCTCATTTCTTCTCGATCAAGTCCAGGAGGCAGGCCGCCTCGCGCTCGAGAGGGTCCCTTGGGGCAGGACCCACCAACTGCACCGCCTGGGCGATCTCGTGGTTGTGGTGCCGGGCGAGCATCTCCCGAGCCTGCGAGCCCGCTGCGTCGTTGCTGAAGGCAAGCGTCAGGCGGCCCTTCTTGCCTGTTGCTGCTGGCTGCTGCTGCTGCTGCTGCTTCCTGGCGGCTGGCTGCAGCGCTGTCCGCCTCCACGTTCTTCTTGCCCTTGTACACCCGATAGCGGAAGTGGAGCACAAGCTTGCCCACCGTCGTCGGCTCCGCCGCCTGGGCGTATTTCGTGACGTACTCGTGAAACTTCTTATTCTCGCCCTCGATGTACTCTGGTTTGCCGTCCAGGAAAACCGCCGCGGTGTTGATGAGGTAGAGCGAAGCGGCGGCCCCACATCTGGACGTGTGGGGGTCCTCGAGCACGGACGTCTACCTTCTCGCCTGCTCGCTGTCGTTCTTTCATGCTTCTGGATGTTTCGTCGTACTTGATGCCCGACTGGATCATGATCTCGGTGATGCCTCCCCCCGATTCGGCGAGCTCCCACGTCTGGAACACCGTGCCCGCGAGGTTCGCGAGTTCGCGCGACGAGGAGAGGCACCGCTTGGTGAGGAGGAGGAGGACGAGCGCGGTCATGCCGTCCTTCCCGCCCTTCTCGCCCTGGCCCTTGGCGTGCTTCACTGATTGTTCCTCCGAGGCATGGTCCCCAAAGGCGCGCATCGCGTCTGCCGTCGCCTGCATCCAGGCCGCGGGCGCCAGCTCCCCCATCGTCCGTCGGGTGTAGCTGTGCACGGCGCCGACGGGGAAGGACTGGGCCAGGCAAATGGCTACGTAGATGCTGACATAGCTCATCCAACTCAGGTGCTTCGTGATCACATTGGGGGCATGACAGCGGCGAGGGAGGTGCCAGGGGTCTACACGCCCTACCTTCCCCGAGCCGACAATGTCCCCGTTGCACGGGAAGCGCTAGGTGTCGAACAGCACGAGCTTTGTCTCATAATACTTCTTTGCAACAGATGCAGGTGTTGCATGGCGTGGGAACATGACACAGATAGCGGAGGTCGTGACGTGAACGCACGTGTGCCATGAGGCCTTTCTGGGTCTCGAACGCCTCCTCGCATCCCTCGAACTGGCACCGAACCTCCTTCCCCGCCTCATATCCATTCTCTGCGGTAATCACGTGCTCCTCCTCCTCGTCAATGAAACCAGGGGGCACAATAGCCGATCCAAAAAACATCCTCGTATGACGGGAAAGTCAATATTCGAGAAAGCATGTCGAACATCGGGGTCCCACAAGAGCCCAGTTCGATCGGCGATTTGTCCGAACAAGTCCCCGCAGTCACGAATATGTTCTTGTGCCCAACGGAGGTCCTCCACCACTCTCGAGGCCCACGGAGAAGCCTTAGGGGTCAGGTAACCATCAATCATTGGTGCGGGCCCGTTCTCAAAACGTACCTTCCCAAAGAGCGCCGAGAGAAGCTGTGCGTGACTATTCGGATGAGCCGACCAGGACTTGTATCAGTCCAGGCGGCGAATACCGAGTTCGACGAAGGGTTCGCATATGCGCCAATGTTTAGAACTGCTTTGTTCGTGAGCGTCCGTGTCGCTCCCGTCGCAGTCACCCAACTGGCACGTCTTCGCATGCAGACGCGAGCAACATGTGCAACAGTAGCGTCAATCTTCGCGTACTGCTGCTTGGTAACCAAACAAGCCTGGAGACCGCAGCGAGCAGAATTCTGCGCCGGGGATAAACATGGCACGCGTGCGCTTCCAATGTAGCGACAAAGACCAGAATCCGCCCAGATAATAAAAAGCCAAGCGCGCTGCCTGGTGGCGTCTGGCCACCTCCTGACTAGAAGCCTGAGGCGTAGTACTGTAGGGGCCCAAGTACCTCATCTCCTCCTTCAGAGTGCCCGATATATAGTGTTGCCCAATCGCACGACGTCACCTCCGACATGTCATAACTCCGTCCCCCTCCAGCCAAACCGCTAACTCCTGCTTCCCTCTATTTTGTTGATATTCGTACTCCTGAAGGTGAGAGTCTAGTAGATCATCGGACTGGCTGAGCAAGTCGAGGAATAGGCCCATGGGTGTCCCCACCGGGACAAGGGCGCATCGGTACAAATCGTCCGCGTATTTGAACAGGCTGAGATCGATCTCATGATATTCCACCCAGCTCGTAGGAGGTTGACCGATGGCTCGATTTGGCGCAAGGGCTCCGTCCACTCCTGCACAGGCCGCTGAAACGTAGTGGATAAGGCGGCCACCATGAACGGGTTCCCTCGTCACACTTCCCGCCCTCGTTTTGACCGCTCCATCCCCCTCATCACTAGGTAGTAACACGATGGCCTACCGATAACGCTTTCAGCAGAGCAACACATTCCCATCTGGAACATCAGCAGACATAGTAGTATCCGTCGAAGTCCAGGACATGCTGCCGAAGGCGTTACTCATGTCCTCGAGGCTGGCCCCGCAGCTCCACCCCGCTTTCCTCAATCTCCACCCCCCCCACCTGCGATGCCAAGATGGCCCCCTCCCGACGACGGTGTTTCTGGAACCCATAATCTTCAGGGGGGAGCTCATTGGGTTGGAGGTCGGAGAAGAACGACTTGCCCACTGCAGGCAGGATGTGGACGACTCTTTTACCTTGGGGCCCAGTCTGGGCTGACTTGTGGAGAGCACACCCGCGACTAATACTCCAGTAAATTGGTGTCAGATCTGCAATGCGCACCTTCATCGTCGCTTCCAACAGCACGGCGGAGAAAAGAACGAGTTCAGCAGGCAGACGTTGGGCCCGAAGGCCAGCTCGTGAAAATTCCATGCCCGCATCGTGGTATAGCATCTGCCACCAGAGCCCCAGCGGGGCCGCGCCGTCTGGAACAACTCTTCGCTTCGACGCTTTGCGAACATATCTTCGAAGTCGCTTGATATCACCTAGGGCCAGCTCCTTATATTGGGGATCGTATCGGGCAATATCGTACGTCTGCGCAAGATCGAGATCGTCGCGTTGGTTTCGCCATTGTTCGATATCGATCGGGATTGTGTTCATGCCCCCCCCCCCTCCAGGCAGCTGCCAGACGTCCAGCCATTCGCATTTGGAAATCGGGGTAGCTCCGAACCGTCGTCCGTCACGTTTTTGGTTTTTGATTTAAACGACAGCGAGCGGCTTTCCTGGCCCAGCCCATAGCCTCCGAAAGATTACGACGATTCCACGCTTCACTAGATGGTTGGACGACAGAATCGCGCTCTGCACGCTGACGCCTCTGGCGGAGCAATCGTAACCGCTGAGGTATAGACTTGGGCTCGGCCTTGACGGCCATCAGGCCCTCAGCGTGCGCCCTGGAGGCTCTGAGCTCCACTCTCTTCAGAAGAATCTCACGACGCAGCTGGGCCCAGTGGGAGTAGTCATGCGGCAAGCTCGTGTCCGTGCAGAAAAACTCCGAACCCACCTCGACGACGAGACATTTTTCAGAAGCTCGAACGAGTGTTCGAGGGCGTCTTGATCGTGAACCCGAGTCCTATCCTCCACCCTCTCCTCCATCCACCTTTCCACTCCTTCCACAAAGTCCGTGCGATGCGCGCCGAGCTTGAGGGCAGATATGAGGGATGAGGTGTTCCACTTAACTCTGGGTGCCGTCGAGCACTCTTGGGGGCCCTTGGGATGTGAAAGTCCGAGATAACTTGGAATCTGATCACGAGGGTGCAACCCATCTGAGCTTGCAATTGGGCGCCTACGCGCCGTAGAGTGTGACATCTGACGAGTCGCGAGTACCAGCCCTTCGGGATAAACAAGAAAACAATCAAGCTCGATGGTCCACCTGGTCCTTCTCCGAAGAAAGTAGACTCCGTCGGTCCTAACGTATTTGCTGCCATGAGGTGATGCTGCTCCAATACTGTAGATGCCATCTTACCACCCGCCCCGTTCCGTCTCTTCTCCCTCGTCTTCGATTGCCCCACCATCTCGCTCACGTACTCCTCACACTTCCCCTCAATCTTCCGACATCCCAATCCGTCGTTAAGATCAGCGAACCAGATTGGCAGTCTATCCACCACTGTGTCACTCTTGAGACCGTCTGAGTACACTTAGGGCCCGCTCCCTTGCTGCGAGGCTGAGGGGGAAATTACATAACTCCAGCGCACACGTCCACGAGATGGTGTTTGACTCTGGCCGCCAGACATCGTCCCCGGAGCTCTGGGGGGCTAGAAAAGAAGCTCGTTGCACTTGAAAATCCCGATAACCACGACCCAAGATGGTAGATATTCCTGCACTTCGATTCGTACGCAATCCTGACTGTACTGCTGCTTCTAAGATGACTCTGCCCTCCACCCTCCTCTGAAGAACGTGCGCCGACTCCCTGCATACATTCTGCGTGTCTGCTAGAAGTACGAAGTTCATGTTCTTGGTGCAGCTGGCAATCTCAACAAGTCGACTGCCGGCACTCCACATCGGATTCCACCCGAGCGCTTGCAGCTTCGACATGGTCGGCGATCACCTCATGTGCGAGAAGCGGCCGCGCGGCCGAGCGTGCCTGGTTACAGCTAAGTAGTGTGCCTCAGGCCCGAAATCTGGAAGACCTCGAGCCCAGGGGCTAGGAGGAGGAGGAGCAGGAGGAGGAGGAGGAGGACGAAGAAGAAGAAGAAGCAGCAGCAGAAGCATGCTACAACCAATACTCAGACGAATATAAACAATAAACGTAATAAGCAGAGAACAAGCATACTATATCAATACGATCAATAATAACCAGAAGACTGACACGATCACGAATGATACGACTAATCTTAATATCAATAAGACGAATCAGAATACGAAGATAACAACAATCAATCATACTACTAAAGCTAACAATAATAATACACATACTCATACCAGTAGAAATAATACAACAAATGATGTTACTGCGATTGAAAGTATCAATGGTGGTACTACTGCTACCCATAATATTCATAATGATACGAATGAGCATAAAACAATACTAACGATAATACTGCTGACAACAATAGTTGTAGTATTACTAATACTAATACTACTACACATACTAATACTAATATGTATACTAATACTAACACTAATACTAATACCACCACTAATACTACTACTAATACTAATACGACTACTACTACTGATACTGATACTAATACTAATACTAATACCATTGCGAATACTAATACTAATACTACTACTACTACTATTACTGATACTATTACTAATACTAAAAATATGCTAATACGAATGCTAATACTAATACAAACACTAATACTAGTACTACTACTAAGATTAATTCAAATCCGACAACACATGCTAATACTAATACTAATGCTAATACTAATACTAATACTAATACTAATACTAATACTAATACTAGTACTAATACTAATACTAATACTAATACTAATACTAATACTAATACTAATACTAATACTAATACTACTACTAATACTATTACGAATACTAATACTAATACTAATACGAATACTAATACTAATACTCATACTAACGCTAATACTGAGACGAATACTAATACTAATACTACTGTTATTACTACTGCTGATATTAATAATAATACGGATACTAATACTGATACGAATACTACTATTAATACTAATGCTAATACTAATACTAATACTAATATTGATACTAGTACGAATATTAATACTAATATTAAACACAATACTAATACTAATTCTGATAGTACTACTAATATTAATATCACCATTAATCTTAATAGTACTACTCATAATGATGCTGGTCGTATTCGTAGTAATACTAGTGTGGATACTAGTAGTACTAATATTCACAATAATGACAACACGACTGCTACTACTACTACTACTACTACTAATAATAATAATAAGAGGAATCATAGTTCCACTGAGAAAACGAAGAAGATGAGGAGGAGGAAAAGGAGGAGGAGGATAGGAGGAGGGGG